ACATAATAGATACCCTTAAAAAGATTCATAGAAAACACCGACCTTACCTAACCTTGTTAGTATCTTAAGATAAGCATCTTATTGCTTCGTAATTACAATTATTACCTAACCTATAATAGGTATAGGTTAAGTAATAATTGTAATTACGAAGCAATAAGATGCTTATCTTAAGATACTAACAAGGTTAGGTAAGGTCGGTGTTTTCTATGAATCTTTTTAGGGGTATCTATTATGTTTAGTATATCACCTATGCACGTAGTTAATAAGTCAATATTGACTTTACGAATTTGCGAGAACGGGTTGCCTTTAGAGACTTGTGTAAGGAATCGTTCAGGACTCTGTATATCATTTATGTCAGACCAATCTTGGAATATGCAGTGCCAGACGGGAGTCCATACCAATTAAACACAAGACAAAGTTAGAGAAGATTCAGCGGTATGCCACCAGGCTTGTCCCGGAACTGAGAGGAATGAGCTACGAGGAAAGGCTAAAGGAGCTGAACCTCGCGTCCCTGGAAAACAAGAGTAAAGGGAGACATGATAACCACCTACAAAATTCTCAGGGGAATTGACAGGGTGGACAAAGACAAACTCTTCAGCACGGGTGGGACACGAACAAGGGGACACAGGTGGAAACTTAGTACCCAGATGAGCCACAGAGACGTTAGAAAATTTTTTTCAGTATCAGAGTATTTAATAAATGGAATGCTCTAGGAAGTGATGTGGTGGAGGCTGACTCCATACACAGTTTCAAATGTAGATATGATAGAGCCCAGTAGGCTCAGGAATCTGTGCATCAGTTGACTGACAGTTGAGAGGCGGGACCAAAGAGCCAAAGCTCAACCCCCCGCAAGCACAATTAGGCGAGTACACAGGTTGGTGAGCAGCCATTGTTGGTGCAGAGGTCGTGATCACAATCTCCCCGCGCCTCCTCCTCCCCCTCACCTGATAACAAACTCCACCACACTTCAATACAAAAATACACACCTGAAGCAGAATACAAAAAATATACAAACGGAAGAGATAAGAAGGTGTGGCGTACAGGAGTCGGTCCCACACTAGGGAAGGTCGCGGCGCCCTTCCTCACACAACACCAAGTGTTGTAGAGGCAAGAAAGGCAGGGAGACGAGGGCAAATGTCAAAGGGGGGTGAAGGAAAGACAGGCAAAGGGAGGGGGAAGCGGTGAAGGTAAGAGGGAAGGGGAGGAGGGTGTAGGACCTGCCTCCGTGTTCTCAGACGATCAACAGGTTAAAGACCCCCCCCCACCATTGTTCACCAGACTTTACACACTGTAACCTTGATAGTGACCTAAGCTGGTGACACCCTTAGTGTCACCAGCTTAGTGTGAGTGACACCCTTAGGAGCCTCGATGGCCATTACCATACCCCTGATATCTTATGGGCCTTCCTAGTGGTGCCCAGCTAATCGAAGATGCTATCCCACCCGACAAAAATATATCAAAACACAATAACACAATGATATACATAACAAAAAAATCAATACCATGAGCCAGGTGTTCCCAAGATAAACAACAATAACCACACATTATCACTTCGAGTGGGACTGCTTCCAAATCTGCTCGCGGAAATAACATAGCATGCTACCAGGAGGCATGGCAGGATGTGCAGAACAGTCCCGTTGTGGTGCAGTAGGCACGCTGAAGGAGAACTATCAACATCAAAAGCCCAAGACTGCTCAACACTCTCCCGCTGCACATAAGGGGCATAACTGGCCGGCTTCTCACCGTGATCGAAAGAGAACTCGATAAACACCTTTACCAAAGGATACCTGATCAACCAGGTTGTGATTCATACGTCAGACTGCGAGCAGCCGCGTCCAACAGCCTGGTTGACCAGTCCAGCAACCAGGAGGCTTGGTCAGAGACCGGGCCGGGGGGACGTTGATCCTCAGTATTACAAGACGATAACAGCAAGGTAGCAAGCACCCACGCCCACAACCACCAACGCCCACAAACGCCCACTCGTGTACACTAGCAGCAGCAAAGTGGGCGTGATTATCGTGGTCTCATGCCACGGAAACTATTCATCAATCTATCAATTACTCAAACACCTGACATCACCGAGCACACCTGATGCCACTAATTAGCGGGCGAGAACCAGACAACCTTCCTGGACGGCACCCAACGGATGGTTCACCTGGACGTCCCTACCTCTTCCCCAAGGAAGGAAACTGGCGTAGATTTATCTAGTCTAGCAGAAAATAGTTTATTAGGACAGATGAACTACACAAAACAAGATCATGGGGGTAGAAATAGCCTAAGGTACTCTATCCCTTTGAGATGTATTTCTTTCCTGTCTCAATAAACATACTTGAACAAGATCATTTTTGAGGGGTAGTGGAGCAAGGAATGTGGTGGTCCCCGAGGGCAGCGTGTCTCGATACCAGCACATGTAATACTCGTGTATGTTTACAACCTCCCCAGCCCCACCCACTCCTCTTGTTGATACCAACGTCTACGTCCTGGAGCAACTCGCTGCCAATGACGGATTATTACCGCAAACGGTACGGCTGCTCCTACTAGATTACGTACAAGCACTTGTCTTTGTACTTACACAGCTGGTAGTCAGAAATCAAAATTAGTCCTCCAGAGCCCAGCTGACATGTTGAATTCCAGAAACTGGTCATCAACCGCTTCTCACATCAACTATTGCAACAGATCAGCAACTCCCTGGCGTATGGCAGAGCACTCTCGACTTTGTCGTGTCTTACACAGCAAGACGACCTCAGAGAATTAACACCCTTCTAAGACTGCTCAGGAGGGTGTTAATTCTCAGGCACTTTAAGGCTTCGCATGGAGATAATCGCTGCTCGTACCACGGGTCAGTCTTGCTTACAGGACTTTCAACAAGCAGACTCGAGTGCTTGCAGATCACCGAGGTCAAGCACCCTAATCCCCAGACATAAAGTGAAATGTTGACATGTCCCAGTGATGTGTGATCTCGTTAATGTATGACATCATACGTCTCCCACTTTTGGCTACATTACGTCACGTGACCTTTAATACGTTCTCGACGGATATGACATCAGAGCTCCAGCAGTCACCATCTTTACTAAAACAATACATTAAATACAATCAATAAAATACAAGGTGGTGGGCGTGGGCGGCATACAGGTGGGGTTGTATTGTGTGTAATCAACAACATTGCGAAGCGTTACAAATACAATGTGATGAGTTGCGCCTAATGTCTTCAGTTAGTCACCTTGCCAAGTATGTCGTGTTTGAGGGGGTTATGTTTTCCACAACCATAACCTTGTTAATAACCCTCACACAACCGACTTCATAATGCTCCAGGACCAACCGAAACATCGTCGACGTCTCCATCTACTGATGTGTGATTTTGGCTTTATATCTTCAGCCACGTTATTGTGACTCGTCGTCTGCAACAATAAGTTATGAGGCTCATGTCCCCTTCCCACTCACACCAAGCACCCCATGCCCCCCTTCCCCCACACTCATCATTGACACAATGACCCCCTCCCCCTCCACACAGAAACACAACCCCGTCATGGTAACTCCCACGAAGAACACCAACAACACTGCCACCTTCCTCTAAATTAACTAGCGACGTGGAGAACACGACAGGAGGGGACATGAAGAACACAACAAGGGGGGACGTGGAGAACACGGTAAGCAGGAGACGGGGGGAGGGAGTGGTAACAGCTCCGGGAAGCATGGCCTTAAAGTTGAGTTTGCACAGACACCAGCCAGTGAAGCAACAGTTGAGGCAGCACCACAGCCAGTCACTACAGCAGCCATCCTCCCTCCAGGGGCAGCAAGGCATTCATTCAGCCAATAGTTCTGTCCATATGGCTAGAGATTTCCTCACTCTCTCACACAACACCTACCCTCGCCACTTCTCTAACTTCCGCCTCCACACAATCCTTCCTCCACCTCCTCCACCTCTCTCTCCAAATAACTCAAAGAGCTCCACAATATTTCCATCTGGCATTGTTCTAACGCACAATACACTGCATCTCTCCAGCTACATCAATAAACAACAGTTTACAACTGTAACGAAGCCAAGTTCCATTCCCCTACAAACTAGCGTCTACTTACACCACTACAGCTCCCGCCACACACACAGTTAGTAACAGTTGATTGACTGATAGTTGAGAGGCGGGCCGAGAGCAGAGCTCAACCCCCACAAGCACAACTAGGTGAATACACACACACCTACATCTCTCGTATGGGTCAACAAGCGTTCTGCAGTAGCCATTAGTCTTGTGTTGTCAAGCAGTGACGTTGCAAGAGAGCAACTAAGGTGACGGCTCTTGCGTCCCGGGACGGCTCCCGGCCGCTCAACATCTGTCACTGTAGCCTGTGTCATTCTTTTATGGAATGAATAGGTGAATTTTTTTTATGGAATGAATAGACAATTCATAACAATTCAAGTGGTTTTTTTTGTTGTTTCTTTGTTCACTCTTAAAACTCCAAGGGACCCCTCTGAACTAGCTATTTTAGGAGCCTTCATGACAAAAGCAAAGAAGCCGTAGATAACGCAAGATAACAGCGAACAAAGGACACAAAAGAACCCGAAGCAATAAAATATTAAATGAAAAAAAATGGCAGGAAAAATACAAGACAAAAGCCACAAGAATCAAAGTTAAAGTAAGACGAGGTTAGGGAGAAGATCCTGGAGGCGCGTCCCAGTACAGGTTACAGTACAGTACAGTAAAGTACAGTACAGTACAGTTACAGACAGGACGTGAAGACGACGCCGTCGCCAACTCCTGGCCACCGAGGATGTGTGAGTGGGTCATGACGCGGGTCATGACGCAGCTCTGTGACGCAGCTCTGTACTCTACCAGCATCAAGGTGGTGGTGGCCTCTTCTGTCTCAAAACTTGATCACAGATTCTTAACACCCCGAGGCGTTCAGACACTACATAGAGAGTAGTCGCACTGAGGGAGCGAGAGCTGCGTCTAGTGACGCAGAGGAGACGAGCCTATGTTACTCTCTATCTTTTACTATCTAGTATCATGGTGTGCTTTCTTCTTACCACCAGAAACCTGGTGGAAAGAAACCCCGCCTCCCGCCCGCCAGGGGCCGCCCCCGCCTCCCGCCCGCCAGGGGCCGCCCCCGCCTCCCGCCCGCCAGGGGCCGCCCCCGCCTGCCTCCCGCCCGCCAGGGGCCCCTCCTCCGTCCACCAGGGGCCGCTGGTCGACCCACGAGAGTCCTCCGCCAGAGTCCGTGGCCCCACTCGCTCTTCAATATTGGTATCTAGAAGCGTCCATATTGCCGGCCCTCCACCTGCCGCCGCCATTATTAAGGAAAAATCTGACCACATAAATTACACGTGCCGATATTGATGGAAAAAAAAGTTGGTGACTAACAGCATAATTAGCGAGAAATTATTTGGGGGGGGGGGGAAGTGACACAGGTGTGTAACTGGGGTGTAGAGTGACCCAGGTGTGTAATGTTACAGGTGTGAGTAGAGGTCTACCTGTTGTTGGTTCCGATGATCAGCGTGTGCCTACGGCCCGGCCTGTGACCAGCCTCCTGGTTGGTGGTGAAGTGTTCCAGGTGTGTGTACCGGGCCAGGTGTGAGAGGGGAGGTGTTACAGATGTGTAGATACGACAAGAGTGTGAGAACAGGTGTCTCAGGGACAGGCACCAGTGTATCATTATCAACCCTCACTTGGCCACCGACCGTCGACCACCATAGCTCTTACGCTACCAGCCACAAGGGTAGACCCGCGTGCAGTGGCTCCCGTCTTACCGGAGTGGGACATGAGCGGGATCCTAGGAGAATCCGAGAGAGGGGGTGTGGGGGAAGGGTCGGAGCGGGACCAAGACGGGCGCCCCGAGCGCGAGCCAGGCCAGCACGCCCTCCAGACATCACACTCCACACTAATTAGGATGACAGGGTAAGCTTGCATAAACCTCTCATTCATTCAAGCAACTTTAAAAGTGTCCCCCCCCCCCCCGGGGCTACACGGAGTCTTCTTTAATCTCTAAATACAGCAAGCTGCTGCACCCACACGCTGTTGAGTGCAGCATAATATACTCAGCAGCTGCTGCTCACCCTTCAACATCTACAATTACGAAGCCATTAAGACGTATGACGGTATTATTATTATTAACATCTTTATTGACAAAATTAATTACAATTTTGCCTAATTTGAGGATTTCGATTAAGTCTTTTTAAAGTGAGGATAATGCTGGTATTCACTGTCACGCAGGACAGAGGGTCATACATAAGACAATAGGTCTAAACTGTAGGCGGAAGTACATATATATCATGGTTACAATCAATGTTTTAATATATGGATATGTGAAAACGACTTTCTATTACGTACGATGGTCACTACATCGCTAACCATCAAGATGAACGATGACAGTTCCACACAAGAGACTACTACATAAACCTGTGAGGCAGGCAAGCAGCAGGAAGTGGAAGCGTAAATACATTAGTAAGAGTTCCTAACAGACGGGAGTCAGACACAGTGAGGGGTGAGACGTCGGACTGGCATAGAATAACATGCGGGGTATCTCAGGGATCAGTGCTGGGACCCATACTAATTATCATTTATGTTAATGATCTGATTGATAAAGATTAAGCCGCCCAAGCGGGGGCAAAGACATGAGTAGCCCGTAAATTAATGACCTAATCACAGGGGTTGCATCCAATATGTCGACGTTTGCAGGTGATGCAAAGTTAATGAGAAGAATCAAGACAGATGAAGATTTTAAGATACTTCTCGATAACTTAAACTGCAGAGTTGGTCCGATAAATGGCTCTTGGAGTTCAACATAAGCAAATGCAAGATGATGGTAATGGAGAAGAGACGCCAGGAGACAAGCAGGAGGGAACACAATGAAGGGAAACAACCTCCCTGTAATGACTAGAGAAAAAAATGGGAGTGGATATTAACACCAAGCCTTTTGCTGCTAGTCTATTGCAGCCGCACCAATGACTCCGGAGGGTGGAGGCGAGGACACGATGGACATCTTAATAGCTTTTGACAAAATATCCATAGAAGGCTTTGTTGTTAAGGAAGACTTGTGGGATTGGTCAGGCGATTTACAGATCGTTTATCATTAGACTGAACTTCCAGGCTGTATGCTCAGTAATGATAGGGCATTGGTAAATTGGATTAATCCTCCCACTCTATATACTAGGCTAACTAGAGCCTATTGCATACCTGTTGCAGATCAGAAGTTAAAAGATGTGCAAAGTCCAGGACCATGACAACACTGGACCTTGACTATACCTTGCAACCTTGCCCGTAGCCCAGCCGTCTCGTGGTCGTCAAGAGGTGTTCCACTGTGTGGATTTCCAGAGAAAACACATACTTCGTCTGGCCTCGGGCCGGGCTTTGAAAGTAGAAGAACTCCCAGAACCCCATCAACCAGGCCAAGGACAAAGTGTACCCAACAGGACACAGTCACACCTGAAGAGTACACAAATATTTACTACACGACATCTGGTCAGTGGGTACCACCACATTCCCGGCACATTTTCGTCTAGACTCTAGCAGTTAGACTTAAGTCTCTCTGGAGATTACCTTGTGCCGTCGGCTTCCACCACTTTAACTCCATTCCTTGTGTTCACTCTCATAGTATGTCTTCGCCGACTTGATAATGCTCCAAGATGGACCAAAACATCGTCGTTTTTTTACCATTTTTCTGATGTGTAGTTTGGTCATCAGTCGCGTTATTGTGACTCATCGTCTGCGTATGTCTACGTCTGTGTGGGGGTAAAAAATACTCTGAAACAAATTCTTTCGAACGTGTGTGGCTAAATTGCGTACTTAATTTCCAACTGTATTCATATGTTCGTGTACATCATATACTAAATAATGTCCTTGTCAGGCCTGTCTATTCCCTTCAGAATTCAATATACAGTAATGTTTTCACTGACAAGTCAACGTTCCAGGGACGTGAGATGGATGGATGGGGGGGGGGGGGGGGGTGAATGTGTATGTACTCACCTAGTTGTGCTTGCGGGGTCGAGCTCTGGCTCTCTGGTCCCGCCTCTCAACCGTCAATCAGGGCGCCTCACAGCTGGATGGACAGCGCTTCGGATTCGTAGTAGTCCTGAGGTTCCGGGTTCGATCCCCGGTGGAGGCGGAGAAAAATGGGCAAAATGTTTCTTTCACCCTGATGCCCCTGTTACCTAGCAGTAAATAGGTACCTGAGAGTTAGACAGCTGCTACGGGCTGCTTCCTCGTGGGGGGGGGGGGGGAGGTTTGTAACAAAAAGGAGGCCTGGTCGAGGACCGGGCCGTGGGGACGCTAAGCCCTGAAATCATCTCAAGATAACCTCAAGATAATCAACTGGTGTACAGATTCCTGAGCCTATTGGGCTCTATCATATCTACATTTAAAACTGTGTATGGAGTCAGCCTCCACCACATCACTCCCTAAAGCATTCCATTTGTTGACTACTCTGCCACTGAAAAAATTATTTCTAATGTCTCTGTGACTCATCTGGGTACTGCCTGTGTTCCCTTGTGCGTGTCCCACCCGTGCTAAAGAGTTTGTCTTTGTCCACTATCAATTCCCCCGAGAATTTTGTAGGTGGTTATCATGCCTCGTCTTTTTAACCGTCGAATGTCTAATGCACTGATCCGTACTTAATTTTCTATCATATCTGCTAGATAATATTATATATATATATATATATATATATATATATATATATATATATATATATATATATATATATATATATATATATATATATATATATATATATATATATATAATATATATATATATTATATTATATATATATAAATAATATATATATATAACCACACACACACACACACACACACACACACACACACACACGACACACACACGACACACGACACACGACACACGACACAGACGTTAGAAAGAATTTTTTCAGTGTCAGAGTAGAAGACAAATGGAATGCTTTAGGGAGTGATGTGGTGGAGGCTGACTCCATACACAGCTTTAAGTGTAGATATGATAGAGCCCAGTAGGCTCAGGAACCTGTACATTAGTTGATTGACAGTTGAGAGGCGGGCCGAAAAAGCAGAGCTCAACCCCCGCAAGCAAATAGGCGAGTACACACAGGGTGTGGGTGAAGGGTGAGAAGGCGTGAGGGAGGGTGCAGAAGAGCACACACAGAGTGAGGGTGAAGGGTGAGAGGGAGCGGGAGGGCAGTAGAGGGCGGCGTAAGTGGAGTGTGAGGGAGAGACAAAGTATCCCTCACATGGTGGTGGCGGTGACCTCCTTACGCGGGCTCCCATCACCGCCCCGGATGCTCACACAACTTGCCACTCTCTCCAAGGACCTCCTCCACGCATCAAGTCTCCGCCATTGGAAAAGTTGCAGCCATTTTTTCACCCCCGTTTGGATGTGAGAGATGTATGCATTTGGGTAAGCGATACCTAGCTCACGGACAGAATACATACGTACGTACGTACGTACGTACGTGCGTGCGTGCGCGCGAGAGAGGGAGGAAGGAAAAAAGTTTTATATGTTACAACAGCTCAGTGGCAGAGTTACGTGTAGCCTAGCCATGTATCACTTTATTTGACTAGGATATTTTTGTGTTCAATTACACACAAAGTTCTGACATTCAAGGGTTCGAATCCCTAGACTTCTCTGTTAATCATTCGTCTCGGGCAGAGGTTCTCAACTTTATTTTACCCTTCTGCAACCCTAGAAATAATTTTTTTGTCTCAAGGAACCCTTACATAAAATTTATTATATATATATTTCTTAATCTTATGCAGCAGTGTAATTGGGAATAATGTCTTTCAAAACGGAAATAAAGAAAAACGCGTATTAAAAAGTATGCCTCTTTAACGCAAGGAGGCTAACTGCCACTGTTATGGCATTAAGATGCCTTGAAAGAAACTCAAAAGAAGCGGTGATCACCCACTGATTCAAACGTTGCACTTCGAACCTTTAGGAAAGAAACAGGCAGAAGATCTAGGGACTGATCTCTGCAATCTAAACTGTAAAAATACTAACCATCAGGGAAAAGTTAATCATCTAATTTGATAAACTGTTCACCTGAAACAGCTGAGTTTGGGTACAAGTGTCAGGATTAACAACCAAGGGTGGGGGGGTCTTCATATGGGGGGAGGGGGGGTTGTACATGCGGCTATGGTGGTACATTCACTACCAGGATGCGTGACGCTGCCCTGTAAACCTGCCCTTCAGTACAAAATTTAAAAAAAAATCCATGGTCAAAACGTTCTTAACTCCTCACATAGAGCGCTGGACACAACGTTCTCAACCTCCCTCGACACAATACTTATAAATCTTGGCAAATGTGGCGTGTTAGTGGCCGTCAACTACCAATACTTGAACATTAGTCCAGG